TAATAATAATAATAATAATAATAATAATAATAAATAAATAAACCAAAATATAAAAGACAGACCGTTGATTACCACCTACAGGTGATGGGATCCCTGCTGGCGGCCCCCCATTTCCCTCCTGGGCCTGGGGTGCCTGCCCCCTCCCCACGTGAGGCAGGCTGTTTGCTTTGAGCTGCCCTAAGCTGCGATTACTATTACTATTTTTGGAGACAGGCTCTTGCTCTTCGCGGCCTGGAACTCTATGCTAGTCCAGGCTGGTCTCGAACTTGCAGCGATCCTCTCCTCTCAGCCCCCCCCCCCCCACCTCACCTGCCCCCCCCACCCCGGGCACGCTGGGCTCAAGGCGTGTGTCCCGTACCTAGACTCAGGTTTAGCGAATCCAAAACCAGATCTGGAAGTGATTCCCGCCTTCTTTCCTGGGCGGACCTCGGGGGTGCCATCGCCCCCCATCCCCACCCCCACCCCCGGTTGGACTCCAAGTCCCAGAGAGCCTCGCGCTGCCCGGGGTGGTGCCGTTCCCTCCCCCGCGCACTAAGAGGAGCGTTGGGCGATTTTTAAATTTTGGCGGGGGAGGGGAAAGGGGAGGGAGGGAGGGCGCGCGGCCGGGGTGTCTGTGTGTGTGACATCTTCGGCTCCCCCACCACCACGGGGGTCCACTCCGCGGGGCTTCCGGGCTCTACAAGCATTGAGAATGGGAGGTGCATTTGTAGGAGAAACTGAGGCACAGAGGGTCAAGGACCAGTCTGAGGACGCCCCCAGCAGGACCGTAGCTGGTGTGGGTGCGAATCCCAAAACTGACCCCAACCCCAGGGCGCTAAGAAGTTCCCGGCACCCTTCTTTGTGCCTTGCGGGTGAGGGGTCCTGGGCGGGAAATGCCAGATTCCGGGACTAACCAGCCCTGGAAGCCCCCAGCCCTGCCAGGCTCTTCTGGGCGTCACGCACGGTGGAACATTTGGCGCCAGATTTTCAAAAAAATCTCAGCCCAACCGCTGCCGCGGGCTCTTGGCCTGGATCGCCAGCCCTAAATTCCGGAGCCTGGATCTTACTGACTTGGGAGTCCAGAGTCTGCAACCAGAAATCCAGGGTTTGGATCTGGGGAGAGCTGCTGGATTCTGGAGCCAGGATTTTACTGTATTTATTTCTTTTGGTTCACATCTCTTTAATGAGATCAAGGCTCTCATCTATGTTTTGGGAGTGGGTAAGGCTAGCACAGGCCCCTAGTACCACCTCTCTCCTCAGGGTTCCAGCCTTTTCAGGCAAATTCTAGAGGGTAGGGAGGGGTTGAGAGGGACTTGAGTTGGGACCAGGGCAGTTTCTGGTGGGTAGGGGGCCCACTCATCCTCCCATAACCCTTATGGGGTGTCCCCGTCACTGGAAGCCTGCTCCACAGGACAGACATGGGGCATGGGCTCTGGAGGCAGCACACGAGGGGAGTGGTCCTCCAGCCCTGATGGGGTAGCACTAGCTCTCACCTCTTTGACTGGCTCACCTTCACTGGAGTCAGGGCAAAGTCAGAGCTCAATACCCGGGTCACCAGTCAGGGACGATAGCGACAAGAGGGGGTGTGTGGGCCTGGCTCACCCCTGCCCCAGGTTCACCCTCCTGATGAGGGAGGGCACTCTGGTGGGAAGAAACACCTTCCACATTTGTCCCCTCAAAGTTGACAGGGCAGCTGGATGCAGAGGAACAGCTGGTACATTCACTGGAAGCAGTCAAGGGTGGCCTGGGGCCATGGTGTATGGAGGTGGCAGTGTGCCTGGGTGGTGAACCACATCCTCATAGGCTGGGGGTTTGAAG